CAAATCCTCAAGCAAATCATTATTATTGAATAACGCCTGATTTTAAAATCTATTTTAAAATCATAGAACCAATAACAATGAATTTGAATATAGATTTTAAAATCATAGAACCAATAACAATGAATTTGAATAGGGATTTTAAAATCATAGAACCAATAACATTATATTTGATTTGTATTTTCAAATCCACTAAAATATATAAACCAATAACACCCTCTTAGTCATTTATTCTCGTTTTGTAAAATTTAAAATTTAAAATATACGAAAAATATAAAGTTTAATTTTATAGCTAATTTGATTGTTTAATTTATTTTAATAATATAAAATTAAAGAAAAATGATGGAGGAGATATAAATTGTTATCAAATATTTAATATTAGAATCATTAATTGTCATATATATTAGTCATTTATGGTAATTCTGTATGTTTTATTTAAGGAAATGAAATAAAATAGTAATTATATCTAGGGGAACAATCATAAATGCTTCTATAGTAAATATCATATCATATCATCATATCATATAGTTTAACCAATGAATATATCTAGCGACATATAAAAATTGAATGTGGACCTACTTATTTTTCAATTGAATCTAATTAACTAACTAATTGAGTGACACCTAAACATGAGGTCTTTTTTAATTATTACAATTGAGGTTAAAAAATTTTAAATGTTTCTCTTTTAATATATAAGGGATATATACGATTTGCGTATATTATTTTTCCCCTAGATTCCCAAGTTAACATATTAAGTTTTAACTTGGTCACAAAGTATTTTTCATTTTACATATAGACTTGCGTTAGTTAAAAGGAAAAGATAAGAAATGTCAAGAACGATTCGAAAAGCTTTCTTGCGAATCATACTTTCTATTTTTCTATTTCCATTTTATTTATTATATGAAAGCTTATGTAAGTCTTCCATGTGATGCGTGTGATATTCATTTTTTCCTAGCGAAATATATAATCGAATTTGGACCTTCATTTTTTTTCAATTGAACCTAAAACTGCCAAGTCAGTTTAATTGGCATGTTAATTGATTGACAACTCAGCAAGTTATTTTTTAATTATTACAAACTTGAGGTTATATCTTTTCAAATGTTCCTCAATTAATATATAGGGGATTTATTATTGTCTCCTCTCCGAGTCGTTTTCCAGACTCCTCCATCATTTAATGTAATGTATACATAGCAATTTAATTTGCAGCGTGTTTCTTTCTTTATATTTTAGTAAAACAAATCATGTATTATGACTTTTCTTGTATATCTGTTTCTGCATGAAACAACTATTCACATTCTTTTCTACCAACTATGAAAAACTATGCGTTTGTTATTATATATATTAATCTTTTTTTTTTACTGAACTTTAGTTTTTATATATATATTAATCTTATAACATGAAAACACTAACAGAGACACAAATAAACAATCGTGGCCTAAGAGGTCAAGGAAAAAATACAGTCGTGGCCTAGTTATTCGTTCTCGTTCTCCGTTTAAATTATTTCATGCGCGTTTGGAAATTTTGAATGTGGTTTATATAAAAACAATTGCGTTTCCACCGAAACGGAAAACACTGCCATCTGCTTTTCCGAACAATATTGCGTCTGCATGCGTCTGCATCATCTATCTCTTTCTCTCAGCTGTTCTATGTCTGAACTAAGAGACAGCTGTTAACACTCTTATGGCAAAGATTATCATTAAGACATTAATTTTCAAACTACCTAATTGCCTTCTTCTGAATACACTTAAGTCTCTACACGTGTGTCGACAAGTCAGTGAAGTCACACACAATACAGTACACTACTGTTAAAATATCATCACATCTCTACTGTAAGTTTACTCTACTTTTCATGTAACAAACGGATTTGGCTTTAGATTTCAGTGAACTAGGTTTGAATTTTCTTCTTCGTCCTTGCACGCTAATAAATTATATATATATCTTCAAAGACCAATCAAAACTCTTGCATCGAGGCTCCAACACTTTACAGCAAAACTCAATCTAAAATCTGTGATATATGTTTAGTACAGCGATGAAAGCCTATTGCATGTGATACCTATCCAACATGAGTTTCTTTTTTTCACTCAACACAAAAAGAGGAAGAAGACAAAATAGCTAAACTGTGTCTATATAAAGAACCACCCACAGCTTCTATTTTCACAAACTATTACTTCAACCCGACAAGATGAAGAAGATGAAAGTGGTGCCTTATGTTATGCTCATCTCTCTTCTTCTGCTTTCTCATGTAAAATTGATAAAACCAATTTTTTCAAGATTCGCTTCTCTTTGTTGTAAACATACTAAGTAAAAAAACACTTAAACGTTCTTGTCTGACTCTTTCACAGGTTCTTGCAAATGTATCTTCGTCCAGCAACGGTGAAAGCTCCTCTGTTTCTCAGGTAAAAAAAAAACTGATACAAACATATTAACACATACTTTACATAGAGTAGATAAATTTGGTTTCTTGTGTTGCTAATTAATAGATTCAGACGAACGAGGAGAACCAAGTGGAGGCGTTTAAGAGAACATACCATCGTCCACCATTCAGTTAATAACACTCTAGTCTTCTTCTTTTTATTTTGCTTGACAACTCTTTTTGATTAATGCATGAGCCAAATATTTTTGCAGATTGTGGGTATGCCTGCGCTAAGAGATGCAGAGAGACGTCGAGGAAGAAAGTTTGTTACAGAGCATGTGGAAGTTGCTGTGCCAAGTGTCAGTGTGTGCCGCCTGGAACTTCCGGCAACACAGCATCATGTCCTTGTTATGCCAATCTCCGTACACATGGCAATAAGCTCAAGTGTCCTTGAGAATACAAAAACCTCTCTATGTTACATACTCTGTGAACATCTTCTAATAAAACTATGTTTGCTTCTTTAGTATCTTGTGTGAGAGCTTATTTCCCATTATGTTATCTCATTATTCAAAACTTTGTATCTTTTGTGAGCTTATATTCCATTGTGTTGTCATTATACAAAACATTGTATCAATTCCAAATAATAAGATGAGTGATTTTGTTGGTTACCAAGTTAGAGTATGTCCTTACAACATTACCAACGAAAACAAAATCACACACAAGGAGAGGATAGAGACAGAGGGGTTCTTGGTTTGTTGGGTTCTGAGTCCCTCCCTGTCTTAGCCTTTCTCCATCACTGTTTCTTGGACTTAACCGCAACAACACCTTTATAGAGCTTAACACGATCCTTCAACGCATCTCTTCTAGGCCGAGCCACCTTATTGTTCGGATCAAACAACAAAACCTCTTCAAATGCTTTCAAAGCCAAAGGCAGTTCCTTCTTCTGCTCGTAAGCATCTCCAAGGTTGTTCCAAGCCGTTACATAACCAGGCTGCAGCTTCACCGCCATTTCAAACTGAGCGATTCCTTTGTCCAGTTTCTCCTCTCTGACATAACTCACTCCAAGAGCGTTATAGACCTGTCTCAAGAATTATACTTGTCATCTTTACTTTGTTGGATACAAATGTGACTGTTTTTTTTTATTACCTGAGCAAGATCTTGATCGTCACCGTCCCATTTCTGGATAGCTTGAAGCAAGAACTTGTTGGCTGCAGGATAAAACTTGCGCCTCAGCATCACTGCACCAAGCTCAAAGAGCTCTGTTGCACTTGCATCCCCGCTCCTAACTTGCTCCTTCAGATTATTCAGACAAAAAACCATATAACACAGTTTTGATCAGTGTTCTAAAATCGGTCTAAAATCGGTCTAGGTGGCACCTAGTCGTAAAAATCGGCTGTGTTCGATTTTTTAACGTCGCCTAAACAATAATCCTCTATAAAACGTCTAACTATCTATCGCCTAGGGATTTTTTTTTTTCTTGAACATTGGTTTTGATCAGAAAAGCATGGCTACTTACTTGAGTCAGTCTAATAATAACAGTGGTTTGATAAAAACATGAGAGGCATCAATAATACTATTTCATCAGTGCTCTGCTACCCCTAATCTCAGCTTCTTATTCTAGTGTTATCTCATCAACCACAAAGGTTAAGACTTGGATCACAAACCATACCTGTAGTTCTTTGGCAGAGAGGTCAAGTTCTCTGCGGACAAGTACTTGACGAATCACATAGAAAGTACCAACTCCAAGCAAACCAAGTAGCAACAGCAAGTAAGAAAGCTGAATGCTTAGCTCAAACAACTCTCCAACTTCGTAAACCGGCTCAGGCTTTACCATTTCTGAGGCTGCTGATGCCAACTGTGGATAAGCAGAGATCATTAAAAGGCTCTGTCCCAGAAGAAAGGTAGATCCTTTGCTTGGTAGTGAAGTGTTTTTCAAAACCGGTAAGCCTCTTCTAGTAGCAAATTCTGCATATTGAGTGGCTAAAGTCCTTCCATGTATCTGCCTTCATCCACAAGTTTTAGTAAACATGGAGGAAGATTAGCAATGGCACAGATAAAAACATGTGCATACGCCAATGAATTCTCCAATTTTGAAATAAAGTTGGGAGTGTTTACCTGTAAAGAAACCGTTTTGGGATGGAACTTGAGAGACCCAGAAGAAGAAGAAGGGAGAATCTGAGAGTGGTGGAGATAGAGGCGGTGAATGGGAGGAGATGATGAAGACAGTGTATAGAGTAGCATGCTTGATGAGATCATAAAGGTTCCGATGAGATTACTCTCACAGTTTGAAATCCACGAGTATGCGTGTGTGTGTGGTGAGGAAGAAGAAGATAAAGGCCCACCCGCGTTACTCTTCGGGTTTGCGGGTTTAGCCCGCCCGGACTCTTCTCTATTAAATCTGCACATTTTGTTTATTTTAATCCTCTATAAATAAAAGGGCTTATTTGCGATGTTTTTAAATCCAACCCAAACAAATTTCAGATAACACCGAATTACAGGATCGATCATGGATAAACCGCAGATCATTACATTAATTAAGTTTACCATATAATTATATATATCATCTAATTTAAATATAAGATAAATTTCATATTTCTTAAAAAATATATTTTAGTTTGGTCTTTTATTTCATTTCCATTTCACATATAATATTTATAATTACTTAACAAATTTTTTTGTAAGAAATTAGGAGTTGAGCATAATAAGACATAAATCTCAAAAAAATTATATATCTATTATTCACTATATTTTTTAGGAGGCATTATGGAATGTTCATCAAAATCTAAAAGCACAATAAATAATTTAGTCGATATTATATATGATTTTATAAAACTGAATGAGATCAATGAAACTCAAACCGTATTACTTACCGGTTTTTATCCGATTTTTAATTAATGAGTATTTTTTAAAACCCAAATCGTATTACTTACCGGATCATCAAGTTTGGTGGTCTGACCGTGGATCCGAATCGGGCGTGAAAACACTGCTTATTTGCCAAATAACCAAGAAAAAAATACATTATGGGGTGTAATTTTATAGGGTGTGATTTTATTATTATTATTGTGAATTTGTGAATATGTGTTCTTTTATGTAAATAGGGTGTAATTTTATTATTATTATTTTTTCTCAACACCCATTTTTTAAAATCAAGTGATGGTCGATTTTGAGTCGTTCCGAAGATACGCTCAGTAGCGGCTGGATATGATCAACATGGAAAATAAGAGTGTTGTTGCTTCTCGCCATCTTTCCTAGGGTGTTCGCTCGTAAGTTCCTCGCTCTGGGAATATGGGAGATGCTGAAACCCCAAAAAACAGTCTCGTATGAGCGGAATGAGACCAGATCCGAAGCAAAAGCCGGCCAGTCGATTGGACTCGCAATCATGTTCACCAAGTCGAAACAATCTGTCTACATATGTATCGTGGTTAGTAACAACGCAAAAAAGCAATACACCGCCCAAATAAGTCTTTCCATCTTCGCATGGAGAACCGATATGCTTTGCTGACATCTTTGAAGTCCAAAATGTTTCACCCCCATTTGATCTCTATAGGTCCAACCAAGTCCATTGACCAAACCATGATTGACCTAGGAGGCATCAATTTGGCAAGTTAGGATCTGGTTGTCTATGGGTGAGGTCGAACTGATAACTAGGAGATATGATACATCGCCTTCCTCCTCTTCCTCTTTGAGGTTTGCAACTCTCCAACATTTTTTTCTGTCTTAGCTAACTGAAGAATGTCAATAGGTAAGACTTCTTTTCCATTAAACACTTTTGTCATTTCTTGCCTTTCAAATGAACCACAAAATCCATGGATATGTTTCAATATGTGGTTCCAAATAGGCCACATCTTTTTTCTTCCAAAAAAGGAAATCAATGTTTTGTAAAAAGAGGTACTCGGCAAGAAACATGGATGAGACGGATAGTCTGTATGGCCCACACCTCCAATGCAGGGGGGTTCAAAAAAGAGGTGATTTATGGTTTCCTCTGGGACACCGCATCTAGGACAACTCCTATCGGTGTCTAAAGGCTAGTCTTTCTGTAATCGCAATACATTCTATCAACGCTTGCCACATAAAATGTTGCATCTTCCCCGGAGGCCCTAACCTTCCACACATGGCTCTGTAAACCAGTGATACTAGGTTGGGTAAGTTGGTCATGTGTTAACTAAGTTTATTTTTTCGTAGCAAATCATATCCAGATTTATCTGAGTAAACTCCAGATTTTGTATGGTTCCATGCATAACCATCCATGGACCACGTATTGCTATGTCTCAATCCGAGAATAAAATGGATATCTTCGGGTGGAAATAATTTTGTAAGAGAGGTATATCCCAATCCCTTGTAACGCACCTAATAAAGGAGTAAACAAGGAGTTTTTGGTGTCTGAACGTCACTCGATCCGAGGTTCTTGGAGGACGAGCGACAGTGTCTGGAATCCACAGTTCAGTCCATACCCTGGTATTAAGACCCGCTCCAATAGTTTTCCGTAAGCCGGATTATAGGAGTGGTCTCGCTGCCATCATGCTTCTCCGACCATATGATGGTGAATAAATCTGTTTATCTTCCAAAGGACATGATCAGTTGTAATATCTTCCTTTAAGAACCCGAGCAAGAAGTGAGTTTGAGAACTAAATCAATCTTCATAATTATTTTGCTAATAAAACCACATTAAAGTCGTGTAAATCTAGAAAACTAAGTCCACCTTGATCATGTGGGACACAAACTTTGTCCCATGCCATCTAGTGGAGACCAGGTTATTTTGACTCAAACTCCAGGAAAATTTAGAAATCGTTCCTGTTAATTATCCACAACTCCTTGAGGTAGCAAGTAACATGACATAGGATACGTCGGTATTGCTTGAGCTACAACTTTTATTTGCACCTCCTTTCCATCTTTTGAAAGTAGTTTTGCCGACCACGAATTGACACATCCATTAAGGCGATTTCGTACATAGGAAAAAAATTTCATCTTAGAACCACATATTTGTTCTGGTAGTCCAAAGTATATTCTCATTCCTCCTTCAGTTGAGCTTCCAAGAGTTTTTTTATATTTTGTTTCAGATTGTACTCCACTTTATTACCAAACATTAATGAGGACTTGGATGAGTTTAATCTTTATTACCAAACATTGAAAATTTCTGAGCATTGACCGACTTTTGCTTTACAAAAGAATAAGCTATCATCCGAAAAAAGAAGGTGAGCGATCCGCGGACTAGCCCGGACCAACGTTAATCCCATAATGAAATTTTCTAATTCTGTTCGTTTAAAGAGGGAGATCAAAGCTTCAGTTCACAAGATGAACAAAAAGAGGAAAAGCGTGTCTCCCTATCTTAGTCCTCTCGTGGGAGTAATCTTCCTCTGGATTCCTCATTAATGACCACCTGGTAAGATACCGATGTCACACAAAACATCAATAGGTCCACCAATTTCTCTGAAAAGCCGAAGCGTAGCATCAGGGTTTTGATTAAGGGTGTAATTTCTTTAAAAAAAAAAATCATCATTTTGTCCTCTACTTTTTCTGTAATGTGAAACTATATTGCAATAAAAAAATTCAGCTTGATAATCAGATGTCTCCTAAACTCATGGTGATTTATACCTGATTTTGTTTTTCTCAGTCACTCATCTAAACTAAATCAAGTGGTGGTTAGACGATTCCATTCTCTGATGAGCATCTTCGTTTGGCCGGTTCTGATTTATATGGGAAAAAAAAAACTCTATGGTCCTTACTTCTTTTGCTAGTGTGTCCGCTCGACCATTCATACTCCAAGGTATATAATACATGCCCACATCCTCGAAATCTTCATGTAATTTTTGGAACACTTCGATCTCTGCCGTGAAAGTCGGCCAATCCTCTGGGTTTATAGTCATGTCCACTAGGTCCGAGTAGTCCGTCTTAAACCGTATCGAAGTTATCATGTCTCTTATACATGATATTGTCTAAAGTAAACTTTTCATCTCGGCATGCAAAGCTGAGAGACTCTTTCTGCACGCACGTAATTCGAACATTTCAGAATCCATTTGGTCCTCAAGACTCCACATAAACCATTAATACTGCTATTATTGATTCATGACACATCAATTTAACAGATAGATATTCAGGATATCCTAGGAAACATTGTCTCGATTTCTGTAAAAGGAGGGTGGTCATGATCCACTAGGTGCAGGCTTATACCTGACTAACGGTATTAATATCTTATAGGAGACAATTTCTTCATCAGGATCTTATGGTTAAAATCATCAAAGATAGTATCAGCCTAGTTCATCTCTGACTTTAGCTTTGTATTTGTTAGGGAAACTGCACCTGAAACCGACGTAATAAACCGATGTAATAGCTAACGAGGCTTAAAGCTGAAGGTAAACATAAGGTGTCTTGGTTGATGCAAAACTCACTGTATAACAATGATCAGTAAGCTAACATAATGCATTTTGGGTTTTTAAGTATTTATTTACATTTATAACTCTTCTAGATTAATTATTACATTTATGTTTTATTCTGAAACAAAACAATACAATTCTTCTTGTGTGAGATATGACTAAAATATCCAAAACAATGAAGTAGTAATAATGAAACCTTGAAGGTGGCAAAAGTGAAATATACTCCAAATTGAAAATTTCAGTTACAAAAAAGGAACATAATGGGTTTTAGGTACAATACAAACCAACAACCCAAGGAGATTAATTTCCTTTTTCTCTTTTATGTAGGATTTGCACAATAAACACTACTGTTTTATGAGAGTTACATAGCCACACAAACATTGCTAAAATTTAATGAAATCCCATAGCCCCTGATTTGAAAGCCGGAGCATCCGGTGGGGGTGAAGGCAACACCGTTAAAGCCAATATGCCACTCACTGCGGCAGCAATTGCTCCTAGCACAAACGCCGGAATGTTTCCGCCATTGAAGAGTTCATCGAATGGTCCACCTCCCACAGATACCACCATCTACGTTTTAATGAAAAACAAAATACATATCAGGATGTAAATACTTCTTTTAAAACTAAATACTTTTTGTATATAACTAAATATTTAAAACTCATTTCAAACGGTTTTTACCTGTGGGACGACAATGGCTAGATTCAGAACACCTAGAGACAGCCCTGTTGGAATGAAAGATACAAATCTTTAGTTTAACATTATTAATTCAGGTGTGGACCGTGTGGTTAAACTTTTATTTTATTACTGTATATTCCGTATGGTCAATGAATCCCCACATATTAATATCGGTTACTTATTGAATCATCTCAGTAAGCTAGTATTAAATTACGAATCTGTACGTGTATTAAATGAATATATCTTTTCGAGGTCCCAACACTAAAAGAAGATTGTAGGCTTACATTATCCAAAACAAAACGCGTGATTAAATTAAATAAATGGCTCAATTTAGTAAATTTACCTTGGCCGGCACCAGAA